ACATTTGCATGGATAAACACGGATTAAAAAAAAAAATCCGTCCCGATGGTCCTCCAACATCAACTCAGTTTAGAGGGGGGTTCCACGGTGTTGTGGTTTTTAGTTTTTCTCAAAAAAAGGGGGGGGGGGGGGGGGGGCAAACATGACTCTGCAGAACGTGCAATAAATTGACGTTTGCATTCGTCACTTCGGGAATCCGTTAGAATTATTTTGTGAAGGTGTAGAGCGGCCGCGTCAGTCAGTAACTACCGTGCGAAGCAAAATTTTTCACTTTAAATTTTTTAATTCTAAATGGGGCCTTTGTTTGTTTTGCTCTTTAGCATTCCCTAAGGGAGAGCGCAGTGAGCGGGGCCCGGCTGTGTGCGTGTCCGCGCGCGTGGAAAACTCCAGCGGTCTCTTACCCATCTTTTCATTTAAGTAATCGGCCATCTGCATCGCGTTACGTTCGACCAAACCTTGCAAAATTAGCGGCGCTTGTGTTATTAAACGTTTCAAGGGCACCTCCTCGGTAATTCGTTTTAACAAAGTTCGTGTTTGGAGGTTGTTGGCAGTATTATTAAACCTTCCACGTGTTTTGCCGATAATCACTCTGGATCTTATTTGCATATTTCTTGGCACACTTTTTCAGAAATTTCGCAACATTGGAGCCCCGTCGATCAACGCGACGTATTCATTACACGCGCCCGCCCCGCCGCGCCAGGAGTGGATTCGCTCGACGGTGTTCAACTTTGTCCGAAAAATAAATACGCAACATCAATTAATAAATGCATTTTCACGCACTTAAATATCAACGATTTCACGTTTTATTTTGGACGCGTTTTTTTTTACTCCGCGCTGACACAAGAACGTGCTGTGTTTTGCAGACGGCGTGATTAGCAAGGGCTGCAGTCGAGCAAGCGACACGGCGGTATTAGAGTTACACGATGTTAAAATAGCAGCGGGAGGACCTATTAAAGTACAGAGACACGCTATATTTTAATGAAAGCCCCTACAGTAACAGCTCGTGTCTGCAGCGACGTGCGCTGGGCATCCAGATGAGTCCCAGCGGCATAGACACTTGTATTAGAGTAGAAGGCGCCCTTTTCACAGTCCAGACACACACACCCTCATACGTACAAAAACCCACACACAAACAACCGCCCTTCCCCTGGATATTTATATCGACCGATTAAATATTTACATCGACAAAAAAACGCTCACCAAGGAGCGATCGGGACAGGCCTTGAAAGAAAGTGTTGTAATCAAGCGAAGCTTTACCGAGAGAATATAAGTACACACAAACGTATTGTTAACATTTTATTGGTGCGCACTTCCAAAAGTCTGGATAGTCAAGCTTGTGAACGAAGGATTCATCATCAACTTTGCCAATCAAGGTGAATGTACTCGTGGTGTATTTGTACAAGTCACATTCAAACAACGGCTCATTACTGAGAACCGTCTTCAGGGATTATTGGGCGTTTCAGTGTTCAAATGATTATAATGGAAGGATAAAATATCCCATGATTCACATCTCCCCCCAAAAAAGCTCCATACGGGAAGTGCTCACCGCCGTGACACTTTGTGGTGAGCACCGCACATAATTGGTGGATTTTAAAGCCGAGCAGAGATGAGACCCACCCGCCCGGCCGGCCTGCACCCCACCGACACCCCACCACGGCCTCACTCTACAAAGCACAGCAGCGGCAGCGGTTAATAAGAAACACAAGGACGACATTACGCTAAGTGCAGGGGCAGCACAGCAAGAGGCGGCTAATGACCTGGACAACTGAACAAACAGGCTGGCTGTTTTTTTGGGCCGACGCTAAGTTAATAGTGGCAGTGTGCTTGATCACTGACACATGCATGGCCCGGCGCATAGGAAGACCCCTGAAAGAGTTAAAGGAGGAGGGCAATTACAGCAGCTCGGAGCGTAAAACAAAAGACAAACGCGGCCACAGCTGCGGCTTCCGAGAAAAGTCTGGGCCCCGAGTGAATGGAGTTTGTTAGAGGTTTACTGGCGCGGATGGGTTAAAGCGGCGGGTTGCTTTCTGCGAGGCTAAGGGTTTGTTGTTTAGCCACGCCAGCTATTGTGCCAATGGGATTACCACAGCGGGGCGAAGCTCCCCCATTCAAGCGAGAGAGCCCAACGCGTATTGTGCACGGCGCACTCCGACGGGCGCTGCGTGTCGCAGTGAAGGGGCGCTGTAACCCGTGGCTGTGATGACCGTTCTAAAACGGCGGCGGCAGCGCCGGGCGGCCGTAAATGCGGAGACAATGGAAGGCATCAGACACGCCATCATTTCACGGCCACATAAATCGGAAACGCGAGCAGAAACCGCAAGACACCGGCAGAAGGGAATCGGTCACAGTAACGGCCAACTGCTGAACTTCCTTTGCACGGTCGTTTTGCATTCGAGCATTAAAATTCGAGTTGCGACGATGCGATGAATCTTCGACGTATAAATTACGAAGGTCGTGATGCGTGTGTGAAAATGTGCGCGCACGTATCGACGTTTTAGATATTTATACATTGTATGTAATGTGGTTGTGTGACGTCTGCAGCCACTAGAGGCTGAGAAATGCACCACAATGTTCAAGAAATAATCGATTTCTGCATACAATGCCAACCCTGAATCAAGTCATTTAATCAAATGTTCAGGGGTGTGAACCATTACAGAATACAGAACACTTACTATATAACAGAGGGCATGACGCACATTTGAGAATGACAATCAATAATATGCATATGTTGTATTGCAAAATAGGCAAACGGCAATCTGCGTAGTGCCTTGTGTGCATGGACAGCCAAATCAATTCAACTCGAGTTCACTTGGGTTTGTCCAACGTTTCCAGAAATTCAAATCAACTGACAACTCGATTTGCAATGGCAATTCCATGAAATTCCCAATTGCTCGCATTAACAAGCGAGCTGGGAAAGTCAATAATCCACGTGTGAAGTTGAACGTTCCCGTCGCCTACAACATCCGTGTTTGGCGACAACGCGTCTGCTTACTCGGATTGTGCCATCGAAATCCGGACCACAGCCAGCAAAAGCAAAATTTGCTCGGGCATAACTCAGACTTCTAGCCAAATCTGGCAGGCGACCCAAGTTGCCTGAAATCATTGCGCACGTGGTGTGGTGTGGTGTGGGGGGGTCAACTCGAGTTCCGTGGTCCATGCAAAGGCGCTATTTGGAATAAATTGTAAAAGATGGCACTTCCGAATAACATTCACGCGCAAGTAATGTTACAGCTCACGAAACGGCACGCAAAAAGAAAGCAACACTCTCGCTACAGTTTGGTCACACATGGGACCGGAGTTTAAGCGACAGCAAAGGAATTACGTTGCGAGACATTGCGGCTGAAAGGAGCCAGAGGAGAGCGCGGGGTTCTTCCGAGTCTAAACAAGCTATTAGCTATTATTTTTTCTAAACGCCGCATCTGGTTTGTGTCTACGTACAGGGAACAAAAGTACTCCCACTTTCATTGTAAACTTCTTTTACTGCCACTGAGTGCGAGGCGCAGCTTGACATGGACGTTTTAAACTCTTCGATTGGCTCCAGAATTGACGTGCGGCGCTTCTGGTCGTCGCAGGGGCATTCGCTCGTTCCATTCTGCGGATCGGGTCCCCTCCGAGATTCGTGTAAAGATGAGTACACGTTTAAACAATGCAGGCATTGTTACACCAGACGACGCCGAGTTTTATTCGCTGCAGCGTTGACGATATGAGCAGCAACCAAAGCCTGACTCAACACATTCCGAGCTGCACTCTTGCTGCTTACTCACATGCTGATATAAGGGAAAGCATGCAGCATGCATAAGGTGGGACGCCACGTGGCGTGCTCCCAGCCAATGAAGATTGCGTGCCGATGCTTTGTGAAAGTTGCCGGTACCAATTTAAAATGTGGGTAACCAGCCACTGCCCATGCAGGCAGTGATTAAGGGTATTTTGAAAAATACACATTTATAAAGATGAATGTATCGAGGGTTGGTATGGTTGCACATTTATTTACTTAATGTGTAAATTGCATTTGCGGCCTATTGGTCTTCCTGCCAGCGAGCGGTGCTGCAGAATGAGTGAGCAGCCTGCTGCTATATATTTGTTATCATCATAAACGATCATATTTTACAGTCACACTGGTCCTCCTGCAAGGGATGCTGCCGTGGTGCGATGGTTAGCACACCGGGCTTCGAAATCCAGAGGTTGTCGATTTTGATTTCCCAGCGTGGAAGTTGTAACAATGGGCAAGTTGCTGAATTCGCCCCACTCATCTGTCCACCCAGCAAAACACGTGGGAACAGCACACTTGGCACATCAGCAGGTCGTGTGTCGTGCAGTAAAGTGTAGATACTCCAACCTTTTCGAAGACGGTGGTTAGATGTTAACTACCTCGCCTTGTATGCAGGAGGACATGGGTTCGATCCGGACCCGATTGTGCCTGTATTTTGAAGTTTGCATATTCTCCCCGTGGTCGCGATAATTTTTTTTCTGCGTCCTCCGGTTTTTCCCTCCACATTTCGAATCAACGCACGCTCAGAGTATTTGGCTGCTATAAATTTCCACGTGATAAGCCACTTCGTTGAGCTATCATTCTGAGCTATCATTCTGAAAAAGAGCTATACAGCTCAGTCGGCCTAACCTGGTAAAACAAATCGTTTTTATAGTTTAGTTTACGTCTGGCCAGTGTGGAAGAGTAGGCCAACATACCCTCCAGAGGGGCTCTCCACAACTCCCTCGAGTGGAGGTCCTTGCGCCAGTAGTGGCGTGAGCAAGCAATTGCAGGGCTGCACCTTTACCTTCATGATGATGCAAAACAGCCACTGTTGCAGCCCCGTAGCCGAAAAATCATTAAGCTCCTCAACAACCCACCACGCACAGGTTCTGATAAAGCACAGCGTGTGCACGAATAGCTGGAGAATGGTAAAGCTCACGGTAATTAGAGCAACATGCGGGAGGAATTACCAGGCAATATAGCCTCTAGTGTGTCAACGTCCACAGCGTCGAAAGCAATGTTCTATAGCCATCGCGGCAATCAGAATTACACTAAAGGAGCTTGGGCTAATGAAGCAGATGGCCGGGCATCTGGCGGGATCACTGGTGCCTGCTTTGAGCGCACAGTTACGAGAAATTTATATTAAACTGCCGCTCAGCGAGGGGCCGATGTTATTCAAGGGAGCACACGTACGGCTGGCCACGCTTATAGAAGACGTTTTCTATGATTGGGCGTCTGAAAAGCCACTTGGTAAGCAAGCACACATTACACCTCAACGCTCTTCTATTCGGAGTAACTGGCGCACGTTACTAAGTCAGATAACCCGTTTATTCAGAGACGCGTGTTAAAATGGTGCTCAGAGGGGTCCATGCCTCTGTTGCCTGTAGGCCTAGTTCAGGGGTCGGCAACCTACGGCTCCGGAGTCGCATGCGGCTCTTTACGGGCTGCTTCTTGACGATGAGTACGTACTCAGATGCATTGCGGCTCTTGAAATACTGAATTTTGTACCGAATTGGAAAGAAATGGCTCTTCTTGTTATTTTGGTTGCCGACCCCTGGCCTAGTTTATCCAAATAGTTCACGCAGGAACATTTACGATTCAAACAGAGGTTAAATCCATGGATAAACACAGTGGCATTTTACGAGCTGCAACGGGTGTATTCATGCCAAGACTCCAGTTCTTCCCAGGTTACAGCACAGATACTTGCCACACAAAAATGTCAGCAAGTGAATTTAAATGTGTACAGTACATGCAGGGTGCTCCATGAATAGATATCCCACCGATTGCTAACGATTTCCACTCATGCCACCGCTCAAATGTTTAAAGCAAATCGCACCGGATACGTTGAACAAAGTTGATCAGGCGAGTGAAAACAGATTGAGTTGATTTTATTTAATCAGATGAGAGAACTCACACGACACCAGGAGGAGTCTCATTTGCAAGGGTGACCCTGGGGAATATGAATATTGTGCTCTACATATAACCATATATTCTGCTGTGCAAAAAGAAATGATTTAAATTCTAGATAAAATTGTTCATACCACCTTGTTGGTTAAACGTATAGTCTCAATAAACTTTAACCAGCACTAAATTATATAAATCGTGACACTATGAATAACAGATTTTTTTGGGGGGTTGGATTGCGTCAATATAAATGTGTCATTAAACCCGCCACCACCCAACACAGCCAATTAGTAAGGTTTGTCACGTAAACAGAACATGCCAATTCGTTACTACTACAGCACACCGGTGTGTTGGAGAGCAAATCCACAACATTTACAATATGTTTCGGGTGGTGGCGGGTTTAACGGCACATTTATATTTGCGCGGTCTAACCCACAGGAACCTGTATTATGGATGATATTGGTCGCGAAAGCCGACGTGTTAAACAATAAGATGAATATTGCAATTTTATTCGCGAAATATATATTTGGCTGGAATAAAAACGATCCCTAGTTGTGGATAAAGGAGGCATATTGAAATAACATCAGAAGTCGTTCTGTGACATCATGTTCCAGGATCGTTCTCTGACACAGGGCGATGCAGAGTGAAGTTTATTCAATCTCGGGATACGATGTCGACAGTGCAAATTGCTTAACTTAAATTGTATAGCGTAAACACAAACTCGAATAGACTGCCGTGGTTGTAACGGTATCAGTATTTTTGGAAGAATATTGTAAGATTTGCTTGTTTGAAAAAAATGTGACCCTGCTTTAATCTGATACATGAGTCATTGATATGATGAGGATTTTTTTCGCAAATGCCCTTTGTAATCTCTGTAAAAATATATATCACAAAATACATAACATTATTATGTATGCCTATACATCACCATATAAAAACATGATAATACGTGTATTTGTATGCGCATGTGTGAGCTTAACTGTTCACTTGTGTACACTAAAAATATCTGCACTGTGCGAATACACTAACAAGGTGTCACGTTCAGTTGACCACAGCCAGAATTAGCATCAATAGCAGGAATGGTCGTGCTAATTTGTAAAATGAGAAGGAAAGATGGGGCAGAGGAACACAAGAGACAGGGGGTAATGATGGAGGCAAGTGGAATGCATCCATCCCAACCACACTCCACCCACTCCCTATCATCAGTAGTGTCCTTATCAATTATCTGACAAGGCGTTATTAAAATTATAATTGTTCTTAGTTTTTTCTTGCGCTAAGAAGGCAGACAATACGTTTAAATGTTAACAGTATGCAATGTGAAACTCTGACTTTTTTCAACCCATTAGTTGTTTGTACGGAGTGGCAGTCAAAGAAGGGAATACATCTTCAAGCACGTCCACCACTGAGATGGCGCACTGAAATGTGTGCAGGTGCCATGTGGCTTGTTGCATCGGCAAAACTGTCAGAGATGGCACCGACTTGCAGTGGGGAGGATTGATCATGGCTGTTGACGAAGACAAATTATTTGCAGAAACAGAGGCTCGTTTGAGGACACGGTCTTTGATAATGTTGCAAGAATCTAAATTTACAGGTCTCCTTGCCGGACATTTCAAAACGTTCACACTTTAATTCAGCAAAACACCGAACCACGCAAACATGTGGTTGGTGTGCCATCTTTCGTGACTTTTCCCGAAAAACCACAAAAGCTCCAACATTGCCCTCCCTTTTCAGTGCCACACAAGCAGCTCAAGTGAGTCTTCCTGGCCAGCCCACGCATTGCGACACACAACGCGTTTCACAAGCCAAGGTTTTTTTTTTTAGACCGCTTGAATCAATGTTTACGGTTTGATCATGGCTTCTATTTTAGTGTTGGGCTTTTTTTTCCCCACAAAACCATTCATACGCTGCCCTAAGCAAGCATTTTGACGTGGCGTCAGACAGTCCGAGTCCGTGTACTCCTCACCCAGTCCCGATTCCCGTCCCCCAACTTGAAACTTTAAACTTCACGTTGAGACGCCACGCCGGGGAGCAAACACTCGGGCGACAGCGCGGCACATTGAGAGCGGCTGCCACTTATTTAAGGTCGAGCGCCATGGAAACCCACCAAAACTTATTTTCACCGTTTGCATAACGGGCGGTTCGCGAGGACAAGAAAACCCCAACCACCACCACCCCCCTCGGGCTCCTAACGTCACCGTGAGCAGAGCACTTAGCAGCCAAAGGCAACAGCCGCAGAAGTAGCAACAGGCCCCCGGGAGCGGTCACGCTCTGCGTCAGCCGTGCGCAGTGTCAAAGTGCGCGCACGTTTTGTGTGTGTGTGTATGTGTGGAGAAGAGATGATGGACTAGTGCCGAAGACTGGTACCGGCGGTGTCAAAGATTGGCCTCTGTGGAGGAGGCTCGTGAAGGACGCTGCTAACTGGGCAGTTGGAGGCAGTCGCCCTCCAGCAACAATGGAGGGCAGCGGAGCAACGCTCACAACAATGAGCGGAGTTGCCAGATGGATAAAACGCAGCAAATTTGGCACGGTAGGGGGGCACAGCTGGTGCGTCTGCCAGTCATCTCAGTCAACCCATGGCACCTGGGTCTGTCCCGTGACCTCCTGACAGCGAGCCTTCGACACTTCACGTGGCCTCAAAGTGCACCTGGCCTGGCACAGGCGCCTTGGTGACGTGGCGAATGGCAGGTATTGGTACTGGGAAGCGGTAGTGTAGCGGTTAGCGCGCAGTGCTGCGAACCCGGCCATCCTGTTTGATTCCCACCCAAGGCCAACACCAGTGACGATTACCTGAACCGGTCCTGGGCCTCCCCTAGGTCGACTGGGCCTCAAATGAGTAGCTGGTGCGGTGTGTAAATATCGCCACTGCGGAGACAAAGGCGGTCAGGCATGGTGGATAGGTGCTACTCACAAACAGCACTTCCCCCAACAGTCTGTCAAAGGCTATACGGGTGATCTTTGTCTTTGTCCCCATATCAAACAAGCGTCGGGTGGCACACTTTGGGATGTACTCAGATTTAAACAACTGATATCAATTCATTAAATCTGACACCAACTCCGCATTGGTTTGTGTATCTCTTTCTCGGAGTTTACAAACTGCCTGCTGTGCTGGACTCCTCTCCACCCCAACAATAACTCAAACCAACCTCCCCTCCACAAATCAGGACGCCATCACGGTCGAGGCAGTGTGTGTGTGTGGGTATGGGAAATAAAATCCTTAAAAGGACACGCATTCAGCCCTGTTAATGGTCCATTTATGCTAATTTTGTGCAACAAAAAAGGATTGGAGTTGTTTGCTTTCGATTGATTCATTATTTAATGCTTGTGGTAGTAATTTGGGCCCGCCTCTGCAGTCTGGCTTACCTGAAAATTTACCCCGGTTTTGGAGTAGCCTGCTCGGCTGACTGAAGCCTCCTGCCTCCCCCTCTGACTGGGCGTGGCTCACTGGCACATGGCCTGTGTCTCCGCCAGAACAGGAAAATGCCCCCCCCCCCCACACACGATCCAACGAGAAAATGTAACAAATAATAGCTGTGCATTTTAACTTTTAAATGTTGTCCATTTAGCAGGCGCACGCAGTGGAAAATCCACGGCATTTCAACGCAGCATAGTTATACGTTTGATCCTTGTACACGTTTAATATCTCGTAATTTGACGTGCCCTCGATTATAAAACAAATAACTTATTTTATATTGCCAATGACCAAACATACCAATAATTTTATATTGCCAACAATCAAACGTATAATTTATTGTAATTTGCATAACGAGGCATGATTTGAACTCTAGAAAATCATGGAATGCGTTGTCGATAATTGAGGATATATTAAACAAGTTGAAATATGTCGTGAGTCAAATAAGTAACTTAACATAGCAGCACACGTCATGCTATAGCATAGGTGGGATAACGAAAGGCATGAGACTGAACCGTGTTCATTTCAGATTACTCCAACTTTTCAATGCGTGCTCATTAATGTAATTATTTCATCAGAATATTCTATCAAATGTAAAATATATATGAAAAAAGATTCATCCTGGCACTTCATTACTCATGAAAACATTACTCGTAGACGATTGTAAGATGAGTATGACAACGACAAGCCGATTTATTTTCCCGTTGCAGAGTGGATGGGATTCCCTCCTCGTTATGCAAAGTGCCTCCCTGCTAAAAACTGAGCAATGGAGCGACGCGCAAATCTGCTGGGGTCTCTCTGAGCCACCGTGGGTTCTTGAGGCAATGGTGAGGTTCCACATCCCAATATCGGGAGACCAGGCTCCCTATGCGATTATTATTATTGAACTAGCCTTTTGCCCGTCCAAGGAACCCTAACCCTAATTGCAGTAAATCTG